TCTAAGATGATGACAATGTTTTGGAACCAGAGAAAAATGGTGGTTATGTTACACTGTGACTGAACAAAATGACACCAAGCTGTAAAGTCCAAATGGTTAATATCACATTGCTAAATTTTTCTTAAATATGAAATAATATCCTCAAGCATATGGAATAATCACACACTTCCAGCACACACCTGAATTGATATAAACTACTAGGAAACAATGTGGCATTGTCTAACAAGGGTGATAATAAACACAACACATAACCCTTGAAATGCCACTCTCAATTTCCCTGAGTAATGACAATTACAATCCTACTGCCTTTACCCAAAACTAACAAGCACTTTACTTATTTCCCCATCATTTACAACACTTGAGTTCATGTCAACAAAGACAATACCGCCAAAGGACAAAACGCACTCTCTGTCCTATTAGAGTTCTCAGTACACTGGCAGAAAAAAAAAACTTAATTAAATACAGCATCATGAGCATAATAGCAAAGTGGGAAAAAAGAAAACAAAATAGGATGCTATTGGGCACATAAACAGGTAACTAACAGAACTGAAAGGTTGGACCAACAAAAGGGCTCAGCAGGACTTGCCAAGAAGCCTGGTGACCTGAGTTCAACCCTTGGAATGAAAGTAAATGTGGAAGGAAAGAACCAATTCCAGAAAGGTGTCCTCTGACCTGCACACATACACAAACAAATAAGATGTAATTTTTAAAAAGAACTGGAGTTTAAAAACATGTTCCAGAGCAGTGATTCTCAGCCTTCCTAACGCTGCAGCCCTTTAATACAGTTCCTCATGAGTCTAATCAGTTACCTAAGCTTCTCACTTCTCAGTTTTATTTAAACCACTACTGCCCTTTTTAAAATCCCTATTATTAACTACTGCATATAATCACTGACCAGCATTTCCTCCAAAAGTTTCTGAAGCAAAACATGATAAAGTCTAGTCCTTTCCTCTTGCTTGCACCAATCAGAGCTACCCAACACAGATTTAAGACCTTCTCCCTTGTGCAAAGCCGCTCTAACACATGCTGTCCCTGCTGCCCCTTCATCCATCTCAATAACCCTGCTTTCTGTGTCCACCCTGTTTTTAACAGAAAGCATTTGCTGTGTCTCTAAGGAACTTGTGTCACTGAATGCAGCAAGTCCTGCATGTTCCTTTTGTGGTTTTTGTTTTGTCTTGTTTTGTTAATTTGGTTTTATTTTGAGGTAGGGTCTCATGTAGCTCAGGCTGACTTCAAACACATTATACAGTGAAGGATGACCTTGAACTCACAACCCTCCTGGCCCCACCTCCCAAGTACTAGGATAAACATGTCTCCCCATGCCCAGATCTCAGAAAGGTTTTTTTTCCCCCTAGACAGGGTTTCTCTGTGTAGCTTTGTAGACCAAGCTGACCTCAAACTCAGAGATCCACCTGCCTCTGCCTCCTGAGTTGTGGGACTAACGGCATGCACCACCACTGCCTGGTTCTCAAAAAAGGTTCCTTAAGAAATAAATGAGGAGATAATATAACAGCAATAGCTGTTGTTTATGAAGCACCCGCTCCATGTAGACAACTCAGTTATTGTACACACATCCCCCCTATCTTTAGCACAACCCTGAAAGCTGGGTATACCCTCAGAAAAGATCAGGTAACTTGCCAATGTCACAGATCAATTGTGTGGTAGCTAAGAGTGGGACCCAGATCTACTGCATTCAGAGATTAGTGTTGTTCTGCAGCAAGCTGCCCCCAAACTACCCTTAAATACTGCTCTCACCGCCCTTCCCAAAGTGAACAACCAGCTAGAACTGTCAGCCTTTAATGCACTGACATGTGCCAGGCATTAAAATACCAGTAATAACCAGTTCCCAAAACACTGACCAGTCACCCCAGTAATACAATACCTGACAGAAGACCCTAAAAATGGAAAAGTAACTTTTAAAGTTGTAGAACAATTAAAAACTGCCTTATTATTCCTAAATATTTCAAGCAACTTGTATTTTAGTTTGAGTGAGAGAAGGAAGAAAAAAAAACATCAGCTTATAAATATGTAACTGTCTGCAGAGGCAGGTGGTTCAGAAAGATCCGCCATGATACTAAAAGGGCAACACTCAGTATCTTACATATTTACCCCTAACCCTACCATCACCATGGCAATCACCCCATCTCCACCCACCATCACTATCACCCTCATTGTACCATCAGCCCATGCCTCCCACCCCAGTCATCCAATCTGCTGAGCTGACAGCCTCTCCCTCTTGAATCCCTTTCCTCCAAATGAAACATATCTTGGGGAACTAAAAACAACAGGAGTTTTCAAATGTTAGGAATGCAAAAGTTACACAAAGCTAACAGACAAATTTAAAAAACAAATGAAAAAGGTTTGGAAAAGGTAGGGAAATGAGCAAACATTCAGCACCTGCTGCATACCAGGCACTGAACTAGATATTTTTGCATAAATTACTTCAGTTTGCAATAAATTATTAATGGTTAGAACATCAGGCAAAATACGATTTTATATCCTAGTTGGGCTAAAATCAATCCTGAGCATAAGATAATGTGAGGAAAAGTACCCCGGTTTCTTCTTGTAGTATTTGCACCATTTTAATGAGATTTTTCTATTAATCTTTAACAAGCCATGAAATGCTGTATCTTCACCACGACCAACCCATGAAATTTACCAACTTTGCCTATGATTCATACCAGGTCATAGTTATAATGTCTTGTATGTATTTTAGCTCAACAACCACTGAAACGTCTCCCATTGGACATAGCAAAAGCTCTGCTCACAATTAAAGCAAGAACTGCTAACTATGAGCTGCTCAGGGTTACAGCCCTGGCTGATGGTTGCAAAGACCATGCAGTAAGAAGCCTGCATGTGGTGCCCTGGACTTCCCACACACTCAAACAACAGTGTGAGCTCTGCTAGCGTCATAAAATCAATCTCAGATTAGGTAATGAAATATGCACCAGCCTTTTCCCAGAACCTCTGACAAATCACACACAATCCTAAATCTTCATAAATCATGATTAAAGGCAAGTGTATCATCACTACCACATATATCTTCCCCAGCCTGACCCAGAGACTAATGAGAAAGGGCCTAGACTATCTCATCTGATTAATTAATTCAAAATGTCTGCTGTTATTCAAATGTGAGGCTGGTATTATTTGAATAACACTTGACAGCAGCGCCTGAAGATATCATTTCTGATTTGTGAAGTTGCTGCTGCGTGGCTGATGACAGTTTGTGGGAACATTCCAATGAAGCTGCTTTTCCAGGCACAGCTGTAGAAGATTTGCCAAAGAGGTGGTTCTTCTTTTTTTTGTCAGTAGTTGATGTTGCTAATGTTGTCAAATATTTCCAAAACACACAGTCTCTGGAGTCTTTTTTTTCTTAAATACTGCCACAATGGCAGCTTTTCTACCTTTCCAATTTGATTTGCCTGAACACAAAATTGCATCTCGGGCGCCCTCTCTCCTTTTCAAGAAGTTAAATTGCACCTTCCAGGATTCACCAAATCCCTCTCACTAGCATTCTAAACACAGAAAAGGGGAAAAGAAAGACATCCATGCTGGGCTGGGCTGGGCTGGGCTGGGCTGGGCTGGGCTGGGCTGGGCTGGGCTGGGCTGGGCTGGGCTGGGCTGGGCTGGGCTGGGCTGGGCTGGGCCGAGCCGGGCAGAAACCTGGATATGGAGGCCATTTTTCTCTACTGAACTTTATTCCTTCTTTAAAGATGTCAAAGGAAAATCATAATGTATCTTACCCAAGACTGGTTCCCTTTTCAAAAAGAAAGTACAGCTCTCAGGTCAAAATTAATGGTGCTAAAGGGAGCTCAGAATCAACAGTACTTACATTCAGATCCACTCATTACTTCAGGGATTTGCTTTTAGAAGTTCATACAACACATAGCAACATTGGGATCTAACCATGACAGACTCTGCAACTCACAGACCTGTATGTTAAATCTAAACTCAAAATTCTTTCTCTGCTATACTAGTAAAAGATGAAAAGACAGAAGTCAGTGTTTTATTAACTAGTATTCTCTGCTATACTAGTAAAAGATGAAAAGACAGAAGTCAGTGTTTTATTTCCCCAATTGCACAGCCCTCCCTCCATCACTCACATTTCTTTTTTCTCTGTACATAAAATTCATTTGTTCCTACAAGCCTTCTTCCCTGACAAGTCTCCTCTACTTCCTCTTGTATGCATTTCATTTTTCCAAACTGCAAGAGTCAATGCTTACTCAACACAATGATAGTAAACATAAACTCTATCTAATATCTTCAGCTTAAAGACTAAATGTAGTTAATAAATGGTTAAAAGCTAACTAGTAACCAAAAAATCATAAACAATTACAGCTGAATGAGATCCTAAGCTTCTAACCCAACTTCTTTATTTTGTAAATAATCATTCAGTGACTTGCCCACGAATCCCAGGAAACTTACACAAGTTCTTCGGGGAGAATTGTGATTCAACAAATGTGCCTCTGTTGGTCTGTCCCTCCTTCCTTTGTGTGTGCAGCCAAGGCTGATTACAGAGTCCACTTTCTAAGGGCAAAGGCTGTTTTAACACTGGAAAGTATTAACAGAACATCATCATTAGGAAAGAACTTAACAAACACTACCCGGGCTCCAGCCTGGATCAGAAGGAAGACTTAAGGCTACACTGTGCCTTCAGAGTCAGCACCCTAAAGACTTAGTTTTTTCAAGTAACTTTTCTGTCAAGTAAAAACAGACAAAGAAAAAATGAGGGACTTAGAGCTAATTATATATGTATTTCACCTCACATACAGGTCAGTGCTGAAAGGTGGTTCACAGCCCTTTTGGAAGTACACAGGTATTTGGTTTCACAGTCCTAAGATAGTCCATGACAGAAGTCTATGTCATTAGCATTACAGCTTAAAACTGGAGAGGGGAGGGGGGCAGCTCACTTCAGAATGACCTTGATGAAACTAACATTATCAACTATGACATAAGTATATGTCCAACATTCTGTGACAAAATAAGAATTGTACCCAAAGCCCTGGGTAAAGGAACAAGCACACCTGTGGGTTTCGAGCTCAACTCACGTACTCAGAAAAAATGACTGACAAACTGCAGAGACTAAGGCTTGGAGACTTGGGAAGATAACTTTTTTAAAACAGAACAAAGTAAGCCTGGTACCATAAGAAAAACAATGGATAGTTTGAATGCCAATGACAAACCACAAACTTTCAAGCAAATTTTAATTTTTGAAACATCCATCGCATGTGACAGCTTTCAACTATTAAAATTTTTTCTAGGTACCTCAGGGTGTCACTAAGTGGTAGAGCAGGAACTTGATGTACATACATGCATGAGGCCCTGAATTGTACTCCCAACCAATGAGATAATGTTTTTAAATATGGTGATGATTTAGTGAGTTTTGTGATAATATGGGCAAATATAACTTTTTAATAAGGTATAATGAATTGCTAGTATTTTCAAGATAAGGATGCCTATCCATATCAATATTTTTCAGATGCTTAAGACATGATGTGACGAAGTCCTACACAGGTAGAAGAAACAAGGTGCAAATCATCAGCCAGGTATACTGTCAAATGCCTATAATCCAGTCCTTCAGAAGCAGAGGCAGACAGCCACTTTAAGGACAGCCAGGGCTACACTGGGAGACCATCAGCCATATGTAATCAGACAACAGAAGCAGCAATGACATTCTGTCTTCTAGTAAGTCTGACAAAAAAAAAAAAAGAATTTCAAAATTGTAAGCAATGCCAGTCTTCATGCTATCTTCTTTTGTTTTATTCAGTTTCAAAAAACTGGAGAGATGGCTCAGCGGTTAAGAGCACTGACTGGTCTACCAGAGGTCCTGAGTTCAATTCCCAGCAACCACATGGTGGCTCACAACCGCCTGTAATGAGATCTGGTGCCCTCTTCTGGCCTGCAAGAACACATCAAAACAAAACACTATATACACAATAAATCAATAAATTTTAAATAAAATTATTTTTAAAAATAGTGTTTGGGAGGCAGAGGCAGGCGGATCTCTGTGAGTTCGAGACCAGCCTGGTCTACAAGAGCTAGTTCCAGGACAGCCTCCAAAGCCACAGAGAAACCCTGTCTCGAAAAACCAAAAAAAAAAAAAAAAAAATAGTGTTTGGGATGATGTTATTTATGTTTGTATTGCAATGGACTCAGAAAATATTTTTAATTTGTTTTAATTTCTATTGCAGTTAAATACTGATCAATATTGAACTCATATAAACAAAAACTATTAAGAATATAGAGGTCCTGAGATCAGAGTTTAAGAATCTTTGATGTAGTTTGCTCAAAAGTGTTGAGTCAGCAAAGTTTAACAAATGAAATGCTAATTCTAATACAAGGAATGAGTGTATTTTTAAAGAAATCTACCATGAGGTAAAAATTAAATCTTATAGCACCAAGCAGCAGAAGAGTTGTCAATATGACAAATTTCCAGGGAACTTCTGGCACCCAGGCTGAAACCAATAGGGTCACCACCATCATCAATATCCAGTCAGCATAGCTAGAAAGTGGGCGTGGTGGCACACCCTTTCACTCCAGCACTGTAGAGGCAGAGGCAAGAGGTCTCTGAGAGTGTGAGGACTGCCTGGTCTACATAGCAAGTTGTAGGCCAGTGAGGGCTACTTAGTGAAACCTTGTCCAAACAACAACAAGAAGACAAACAAAATAAACAAAAATCAAGTAAACAAAAACAAAACCTGCCCAATAAGTCCTTAAACATTCAAATTTAGATTTCCTCCTCATCCCGCATCGTTCAACTCTAGTCCTACTTCCCACCTTGCTCTCACTGCCGACCTGCTCTTCACACTCAGGTACAGTTCAATTCCATTTTCTCCGCTCCTGCCCTACATGTCAACAAACATTGACTAGGTCCAGGGATCACTGGTGCTATGAATATAAGTAGACCTTTGATGAGAGTAAATCTAAAAGGCTCCCAAGAAGAAAGCTTTATAAACTGGGACAAAAGATGTTTTTAAAAATGAGAGGGAGGGGGGCTAGAGAGATGGCTCAGAGATTAAGAGCACTGATTGCTCTTCCAGGAGTCCTGAGTTCGATTCCCAGCAACCACATGGTGGCTCACAACCATCTACAATTCAATGTGGTGCCCTCTTCTGGCATGTAGGAAGAACAGTGTATATGCAATAAATAAATAAATCTTTAAAATAAATAAATATGTAATAAATAAATAAATATATTTTTAAAAAATGAGAGGGAGGGACTGAGGGAGTGAAGGAGGAGGAAGAAAGTAGGGGAGGGGGGAGAGGAGAGGGCATCAGGGAACTATGCAGCTCCAATGGTGCACTACTTGCCCAGCATGCATCAAGCCTCAGGTTCTATCCCTAGCACCAAATAAAAGGCCCAAGCTAGGGTAGGAGCACTCCTGTAATCTTCAGCCTTCAAGGTGGAGACAGGAGGGTCAAAAGTTCAAGTTCATTCTTGGCTACATAGTACCCAATCAAGACCAGGTCAGCCTAGGCTACATGAGACTGTGTCAAAAAAGAACTAAACAGGTTACAGAACCCGAAGTCTCGTGTCTCCAAGAGAGATCTGTTAATGATGTTCTAGGAGTCTATTAACTCCCTGAAACTGTACTCAAACCTTTCTAAGTACACACACACACACACACACACACACACACACACACACACACACACGTTTCTAGAAATATAGACACTGACTGTCAGGATGGGCAGATTTATTGACCACAGCACAGAATAAAATCAAGAATATCTGGATTACATGATTTTTAGCAATAAAGAAGAAAAGGGAACAAAATATTTATCAAATAGTTGTGATCTTTCCACATCGTGATAGTTTCCATGAAGCAAAATCATTGGCGATGAGTCTAACAATTTTGACTAGACTGACATCCACCCAAACCACAGAGCTGCTCTAATTCTCCACTTAGTAGTCACCACTCACACTAGTCACCTGTACTGGTTTTCAGTGCAGCCATTCTGAAATCCACCATTCCCATGGCTCTAGAGTACAAATATTTAGGGTTTTTTTGTTTTTTGGTTTTTTGTTTGTTTTTTTTTTTTTTTGGTTTTTTTGGCAGGGGGAAGGGGCAGGGGACCAAAAGCTCTTTCAAATTGTTCTAACAGTTACAACTAAGTAAGTAAGTATATACGGATCTTGATTTCCCATGCTCTTCACTTGATAAGCAACAAACCAGTGCCCAGTTCAAACTAGTAAATAAATGATACCTTACCATATTCTGTGTTTCTCATCAAACTATTTAAAATTAGCACTCACAGGGCGGTGGTGGTGCTCACCTTTAATCCCATCACTCGGGAGGCAGAGGCAGGAAGATCTCTGTGAGTTCGAGATCAGTCTGGTCTACAAGAGCTAATTCAAGGACACAGAGAAATCCTGTCTCGAAAAAGTAAATAAATAAATAGATAGATAGATAAATAAAATTAGCACTCATTTAAAATAATTCATGATTTGTAGTACCTTTTGATTTAACTAATCCTGGGCTAATCTTTGGACTAGTCAAAAACATGTGACCAATCAGTCACCTTTGAAGTTAATTATTTAATTTATCATTAAAGAGATTTCTATAGCTTATAGATTAAAAACTCAGCCACAAAACTATACAGTGTAAAATGAATATAAATCAATCATTATGACAGATGAAATTATTTGAGAGTCAAAATGAACAAAATATTCTATGTCAGCAAAATGTCTCTTGTCAAAATCTACTCTTTAAGATTTCATTATCATGTACTAAAACAAATATCCTTCCAACTCTACAGAGAAACATGTCTTACATCATAATTCAAACTTCCTTTTGGGAACATAAATTTTCTTACCTCTGAAATATACTGCTTCATCATACTTAGTTTTAAAGTAAAAACTTTAAGGTAAATTAAAGCAACATTAAGCTTGTTACTAGTTTTCAACACAGAAGTTTTCCTTTTAGAATATTACCATTAATAATAACCATGGCAATGGTAATATATATAAATTACTTTTATAAATAATTTACATATAAATTACTTAACATCTAAGTAAGCAACTTTGGCAGTTTTCCCATATATACTGTAGCCGATATAATTAAGATAAATTTCTAAATGAAAGATGTCTTACTTAGGGTCTCTATCTCTGTGATGAAACACCATGACCAAAAGCAACCTAGGGAGGAAATGGTTTATGTCAGCTTACACTTCCAGGTAACAGTCCATCACTGAGGAAAGTCAGAGCAGGAAATCAAGGCAGGAGCTAAAGCAGAAGCCATGGAGAAACACTGCTTACTAACTTGCTTAACTAGCTTTCTTATACACCCAGTACTAGCTACTTAGGGGTGGCACTGTCCCTGTTGAGCTGGCCCCTCCTACATCCAGCAACTCAAGAAATGCCACACGGACTAGCCTACAGACAAATATTATGGAGCCATTTTCTAAATTAAGATTCCCCCTTCCCAGGGATGTCTAGTTTTGTGTCAAGTTGACAAAAAACCAACCAGCACAAAGAATTAGAAGACCATGTACAGATTCATTCAGCAGTGTGTGTGTGTGTGTGTGTGTGTGTGTGTGTGTGTGTGTGTGTGTGTGTGTGTGTACAGAAAAAGAGAGAGAAGACAAAAAGACCTTGGCTTCTAAATGCTTACAGTCCCATAGAGAATGAGGAAAGGGAAAAAGAAAAAAAAAAGCCCCTCTATACCTAAGTGAATCTTTATAGCATACTACTTACAAGTATTAACTTAGGGTAATTTTATCTAATTGTGAACTTTAATGACTCAGAAAACATCAAGATTTACTAATTATTGACAAGACCAAGTCCCTCAAAGTAGAATAAGTGAAACCTCTCCTATTCCTTCCATTAGATCTTTCCTCCATCCTCTAACCCAAACCCCTTCTCATCTCTGGCTGTCTCAGCAAACAGTTATGACTGCACACCCCACATGTATTACTTAGAAACTTTAAAATGAACAAACAGAAAGAATAGGGCTAGCTGAAAACAGCATCACAAAATCCAGGTCTAAAGATGAAACATTCTTCATTTGTCTATTTCTAAGCATGTGTGTTTTAGAAGGTTTACAGGATACATGATAAAATGCTCTAAAACACAAGAAGACAACTTGTATCACACACACTCATCTCCACTCAACTAGCTTCCTGGCACTAAAACAGCTTGCGATCACACCCTCAGGTATCAGAAAGGGTATAGTATTTCAATCTTTATAAGAACTAAATTCTCCAAAATATAAACAGAAGCAAGTTTGAATAGATGCCATTTAGAAATTCTGTGACCAAGGCCAGGGTTAATGTCGAATATTTCTGAAGACTCTATAAAGACAGGGAACTATCAGAGCATGGTCTGCATACCTTTGATCCCAGCACATAGAGGGCAGAGGCGGACCACTGTGAGTCTGAAACCAGCCTGGTCTACAGAGTAAATTTCAGCCGAGGCAGGGCTATATAGTGAGACCCTGACTCAAAATAAATAAATAAATGAATCTAGGATCATCAAATTATCAAACAAATACTCTTCTACTAGGTTTCAGATGATTTAAAACCATAGCCTTCACAGTACCCCAGATCCCATGCCTAGAACACAGGCTGAGATCACAGACTACCTTGACAATGAACAGAAAGAAAGGAATAGTGACTTTTCTGCCTTTGTTTTTGAACCATATGATCATATGTAGAATTCTCAAAATAAAATACAGAATAGTATTAACTTTACCAAAACTGTCCCTGAAAAGTAAAGCATTGCAAACCGTCAGCAAAGGCAACTCTAAACAATGATATAAAACTATAATATTCCAAGGTTCTCAGAGTCATTTTCAAATCTTAAAAG